AAGCTAGCATTACTGTTTAGAATTTTACATGACCGAAATAAGTCTCCAAAAAGGAGAAAAAAACGTATGATGCGCAGAAACGTCATTTAAGAACCGAGACAGGTGCGAGACCTCCGATTGATGGATACCCCTCATCTAGGCTATTTCAAAATTTATGTCATGACGTCAAAACTCCTCATTTAAACATATGCTCGTCAAGCCCGACCATTATTGCGCTGTCGAAAGGAATACAATCTGCCATGTTGATTCACTTCGCTAGAAACAGCTGGGGTCAACCGTCGAAGTGCGACGGATGAAGGTCCATCAGACGCCATGGAAATTACCACGAATTCCGCTCACAACTGAAGATTTCAAATCGTATTTGGCGTGTGTTATAAAATGGGTTCTGGAGACAGAGAGCACCGATACGCGTGAAATATCCCGCTGAGCAACAACGAATAGTGTGAATGTAGGAACGAGAACATAGAGCAGAGCTTACAACATCCTGCTGCCACAATTTCCTTTGAATATGAATCCACACGCTTCAATGATCTCACGCCCAAACCGTCTACATGTAACCTCCGCATGTTACAGGTTCACTGAATTGCTAAGACTTCCTAGATTACTGGCAAGGTCCTGTTGACAGGAGTTCAGAAGATAAGCCTTCTTCTCATATAAGCGCTACCTAAAAACACTTTTAAGCAAGGTTAGAGATACAACTTTATCAAGAATGGTGAGCATGTGTGTAACGCAAACGTTATTACTCATGACGTAAAGGCATTTTAGCGTTGCAAAACCAAAGCATGAGGCTGTCAACATAGAGCGATATGCTAAATGGAATGTAGAAGGAAATTAAGAAGGAAATTAAGGTACGAGGTCCCAGATATTGAGCAACAATTCTGCCAGTTTTCTCAAGATAAATCACAGGTAAAATAATGAGTGAAGAACAGCTACCAGTTTGACAAGCGGCAGTGAAAACAAACAAAAAATAAAGAGAAATCATGAAGAGATCTAAATTTTGTAAAAACACCAAAGCAAGAAAAACTCAGTTGAATACAGTCGTCACCGATCTGCTGGTAGGTCTATGGCGCTGTCTTCAATTTTGCGTTCAAACGGCAGATAAACGTGAAATCCGAAGGAACCATTCGAGAACGAGCCCGGATTGGACACAACGGTATCTGGAACGAAAAAAAGACAACTGCAGGAAAGTGTGTGTATGTGCAAGATCATCATCACAATCTTTTCATCGAAACAAATTAACGTCTGAGACTTAGCAGGAGAAACACGATCGAGTTTCGCGCCCCTACAACAGAGCCTAAGGCATACTACTCTTTTTTTCACGTTGCAATCGCAAGAAATTGAAATCCAGAGGGCTGCAAGTAATAGGCACAGGTACCACCTAGAAAATCATCGGACGAACCTGCTTGAATCTCTGCAAAAGACCGGAACTTGTCAGCAACAACGAGCAGATCAGGCAATGGGTGTAAGCTCATCACGTGATCGAATTCCCAGAGCACAGGAGACACATGCGCAGGCAGTGGTGATAGATGCACCTATAAGCAAAGGAAAACAGTACGGGATGGTTAACATCCACTCATGTGGGCCAGTAACAACTGAGAAAGATCGAAGTTGCAAAAATTAGAGAGTACTCGGGACCAAAATCAAGATCAAACTGAGTAAAGTCTAAAATTGCAATCTGCACACAAATAAAGCGATACGGTAACTAACTAAAAAGGTAAACTGGGTAAAAGGTAAAAAAGGTAAACGGTAAACTACCTGACTCAAAATTGTTTTAGCGAAGCTTTTTGGAATGTTTTCAGATGCGACTGCATTCACGGCGTGCCTAGAATTAAACGTTCGACTCCACATCAAGTTATTAATATTTAAACCAACAAATCTCCTGAGATCAAGTTAGCAACAAGAGTGATGTCAAACCTGCACATCTTCTCAACAAGATCGTTACGGAAAACCACAATCTCTTGACTGGCGTACTGTATCCGGACGGGATTCGTTGCAAAGAAACAATTCGGAATTTGCTCCAAATATTTAAACAGTACACTCGGAAGGTGAGGGCGGGGCAACATCTGAATTTAGTGATCATTGTATTCGACCCCATTGCATTCCACAAATGTATAACGTTCAGTAGAACATACCATATTTAGGCATGGGTCGTCCGGTCCGGGAACAAACACAAAGTGAGTGGAAGTGAAGGAAGAAGCGAAGTCATTTAGTTGGTTGGCGAGCCTAAAGCAGCAATCAATCCTAATGACATTTTATCCCATGTTCAGTATCGTAAATGTACAGCGGAGTTTGTGCTGCAGATCTGGGAAGAAGGAGGACTACGTTAGTTTTTTTTACTACGTAGTAATACGAACAGGAACTATCTAACCCGTTCACTTGCACAAATTTACGACACTTAAAAAGTCATACCTGCGGAAACCAGTATGGAGTAATTCCATAGTATCCGGTTGTCGTGATCGTGAGCAGAAATTTCCACAAAATATGAAAGCCAGTGGTGCGTCAGCAGAAAATCCCGACAGCATGTGATATACTGCTTGCATCACCTATAAAACCAAATTGTAACCTACTATCGATAACGCAAATGCTGTTCTCACCCTAGAGTCATCCAGGTGTACATCCGACAGAAACACTATCTGAGCGTTTGGATTGCTTCTTTCAGCCACACACAACTTCGGATTACAACGGAATGCGATCTGAAAAAAAGTACCGAGTAATAAGGAAGCAATGCAAAATAAAATATTTAGACTTACGGGATCATCCCCACCGAACCAATTTGCATTGCCGAAAACTGCTCGCGTTTCTTCAGCTGATTCCAGTGGTACAGACGCAACTTCTCGGACGGTGAGCAGAGATGAATCGTATGAACCCTGCACAACATATGCGGATCGAACAACAAGGAAGAAAAAGAGGAAAAAAACAAAAGAAAAGCTTGTGAACTCTGTCATAATGCTTAGGGCGAAACTCTAATCTGAACCTTGTGCTTTCGGGAGCCCTGATGTAACTAGACGATGAAGACTATGGCTGCTTACACACAGGCCCTCAGGGGTTAAAACGTAGGGGCAAGTTTAACGGCTAAACTGCCAGCGTCCGCTTCTCTATGGCATGACTGGAGCATACGGAGATTAGCAAGGTCACAGGAAAGTTGTGCGACCATGAGAAATGAAAGCCAACCGTGACAGATGCGGCGTAGAGGGAATCACCGGCGCGCAACCATATATGATGAAAGCGTGCCGCTAACCTCTTAGTAGGTTTAGAGTTTTAAAACGTCTAGACCGGAAGAGAATCAAAGCGTGGAGCTGGTTCTCAGCTCCGTTCAATCGGTGCAGCATCGTTATACTAAAATACGTAACAAGGCAGTGTCGCAAAACTTGTGACTCTCAAAGGCAGGAACACGCGACCTTGATACTTACGAGGGCTAATGAAACTCTTGGTGAACAATATATACTCATTAGTAGCTACCGAACCTCCAGGGAACAAATCGAGAGGACAAATGTTGCAGGCCTTGAGTAGTCATTACATGCACCCCTAACGATCAATCAGTGACTACACGTTAGATTGCAGCTATGCTAGTAAATGAGGTGCTAGTTTGATAAGGCGAACAAATAGACCAAGGAAGACAAATGCCAATCCAGATGAAGAGCGTACCGTGGAGAAGAACTTTGCTGCGACTTCCTTCAGGGTGAAGCATTGCGTGTTGAAATCGGGTTCCATCATTGAATTCAACCTGCATTGATCCTGTCAGGTCCTCAATATGGTAGCAGTGACTCTGAAAGTTAAAGAATTTTGTTTGCATAAGAGATCACACACAAGACGGTGCCCAACACCAACCATCTACCCTTCTTCTCATTCATTCGCAAAGCCGAGACTTAACAGTCCGGACTGGTCCTCTCACTGTATCCTTAAACCCAATCGTGCTTACTCTCGTCAAAACGAGAGTGGCCGGCCTTCTTTGCCTGTCAACTCGCGCTTACAAAGCATATATCCGATAGGAGATCTATTTCTGTGACAGGCATGCGCAGAACACTATGCAGCGAACACCGCTACTACCTCTGCGAACTAGTGGTAAGAGGTAGGGTCGGTAAGGAGTGCTAAAACAATTTCCATCAGATATCATAATTTTCACAATTTATTTACTACTTATTCACCCACCCACCAGACATAAAAAATTTCAATGCAAACGCAACGTAAGCGGAACACAGCCGTGATACCAAGAAAAAAAACAAAAGGAGCATACCTTCTGTTGCGTGAGCATGCCAATAACAATGACATCGTTCTGCACACGTGCGCTCCCTAGCAAGGTCTCTATTGTAGTAAACTTGATGCTTTGTAGTTGTTTACAGCGTGCTATTCGCTGCAAAGGCCACCATGACAAAATGTAAAAAAAACATCTTCGAAAAGGAACAAGAACAACCATACCTGAGTAACGAGTTGGAACCTGTGTCTGATTGCATCAGTAGCCTTATCGACTGTAGATATCACTTTGGGAGGTTCATCGACGGACATCATTTTTCGACAATTTGCATCGAACACAAATCGACGTATAGAGAAGGAATCGAACACGTTAAACAACGAGGTGCTACAAACGATGTAACATGAATGTTTTGACAGGAAGATTTCCGACAAAATAGCTAGAAAACTTTATCCGCAACTGACCTCTGCTGCGCTCCTCGATTAGAAATTTGTGAAAACACTTCACGTATAACGTCCTGGGTGACAACCGATGTGGAAACTATAAGTGTCTAACTGAGAAGCTGTTCAAACAATTGAAAAAACAGAACAACACAAAAGTGCTACCTACGACACTCACGTGACTGCTTCCTGATGGTCTCAACAATCTTCGTCATCCATTTCTTTCGCTTCTCTTTATCAAATTTATATATCGCTTCCACGCAAATATCTAACACTTCCCTGACAAACAACACGTCAATGATGAAAATCGTCAATGTAAATCATGACCAATCACCTACTTCTTTGCCTCAAGGGCATTGATCCTGAATGACGAAGAGATTTCTCGACGGACTCTGGACTTCTCTACGTCTTCCATCCTTCAACCAATTCTATTAGGACCAGCAAACGAATTCTTTGTTTTAACCGGAAAAGATTATGAAATGGTGCATGCAACCATTAAATGAGCCAACACAGACGCATGTCTCACAACTTTATTCAAAGACAGACACAATAAATCCAAAAAGTAAACACAATTCAAGTCGACACTTCTGAT